CTTCCCCAAAGGGTCCTAAGAACCTACGTAGTCCGAATGTAGGGTTTCTATGTTTTGTGATTTGGGAAAGTATCCCGCATGCAGGTATGAAACAATTATCCTGACAACAAGCAACGGTACAAATCATAATATTACGATGATCACAATAGTCGGCTATGCACGTAAGATCAGATTTGGCTTTCGGGCGCAGAGCTGTTGGCATTAGCTTATCAGACAGGTTATCCGACACCCTACACAAGAATCCGCAAACCCTACATCCCAACGCGCCCTAGCCCAAGATGCTAAACGACTGAAATCACCTTTAACCCCAGCCAACATATTCTCAACCCTTTGCCTAGACCCCCTAAGCCAAAAGCCCTAACCCCAAACCGCTATAAACCCCCAAACTCCTAAACCCCAATATCCCTTTAACAACATGTTGGGGGAGCCCTTAACCCTAAATCCCAATAACCCCGAATGAACACTAAACTCTACACCCTAAACCCTAAACCCTAAACCCTAAACGCTAAAACCCTAGAGCCCTAAAGCCCTAAACCCGAAACCCTAAACCCTTCTGGAAGCCCGCAGTGCAGGACAACGAGGAGGAAACGGCCAAACAGGCCGAAGATGAGAAGAAAGCTGCAGAAAAGGCACCCGGAAAGTTCAGGGTCTGAGGGTTTTAGGTTTTAGGGTTTTCAGGGTTTAGGGTTTAGGTTGAGGGCTTTAGGGTTTCAGGGTTTAGGGTATTTAGGGTTGAAAGTTCAGAGTCTGAGGTGTTCAGGGTTTAAAGGAAGAAAGAAGTACAGGATAGCATAGACCCGAAACCCGAAGCGCTAAACCGTAACATAGGCGATATACTATGACGAATTGTCAGTTCAGGATTTCCTTTATATTTTCCGGGATTACGGCTTGGTGCCTTAAGGGGTTCGGGTTTGGGGTGATCTCGGGGTCTGGATTTTAGGTTTCTTGGCTTTGACAATTTGAGGGTATAGTTTCAGGGCTTCATAGGGTTTTAGGGTGTGTAGGCCTTTAGGGTTGTTGACATGTGCAGTCTAAGCTAGACATCCAAAGCTGACATCTGCGATGTTACTGTCTTAATGCGTATGTTGCATGCAGGTTCGTTGTAGGTATGTAGGTAGGCAGGCAGGTAGATAGGGAATAACCCCCTATATACCTTGTATAAACCTTATTGAATACCCTATAGCCTAAAGAACACCTGCTAGAATACCTTCTAGAATAACAAGTATAAATACCTTGTAGAACACACCAAAATACCTTAGTTTGTATTTCGCCAAAAAAAAACATGTAAACAGGAAAAATCAGGAGGAGCCCTAGGTCTGAGCGTTCCCCAGTTGAAATATAGTTTACTGGGTATATGAGGGATTCAGATGAAGCAAATGCAGAATCTAGCTAGGATCTAGGAACTCCTTGGGCACACCGAAGCAATTTTAGTGAGGGGTACACATAGAGAACGGACTACCGGACAAAGTTTCCTTATACATACCCCATCGAATGCCTTCTACAATATACTGTGGAATAACCTATAGAAGACCTTTTAGACTACTTTATAGAATACTTTACACAAGTCCACTGATATAGCCTACATATACCTTATAGAATACCATCTGGAATACCCTCTAGAATACCTCATAGAAGACCGCTCATACCCCCCTATACCGCCGATGGAATACTTTATGGGATACCCTCTAGAATCCCCCACAGAATACCCTATAGAGTATAGAGTACACTGAAGATAGTGATTTTAAAGATGGACACCCATTCCTAGCCCAAGATCTGACTGAGAAGCCCCCAGTTGAATTGTAGCTTATTGGGTAAAGGCTTCCTGTAAAGAAAATACAGAACCAAGAAGAATGGCCTTATAACTACCTTACAGGATACTCCGTTTGTATATACCTTAAGCCTTAAAGAGTTTACCACAACTTCATAGAATAGCTTATAGAATACTTCATGTATGAGATACCCCATGTATAGCTTATATATACCCGCCTTTCGCTGTCCTCATTTTCGGAAAACTGAGCGGTTCGATAGCACTAAAATTTTTTGAAGGATGACCGTGTCGTACCTGTGCAGGACCAAGAAAACAACAACAAAATCGGGGACATGATGGTCCGGAACATAGGTCTAACATGTTTGTGTTGTTTATTGTATTTTTGTTTTCTTGTTCGGGACACAGTCTCCCAAGGGTTGTCTTTGTTGTTTTGTTTTTTCGGTTCGATACATCGTATCTGAAAGTGTGGTGTTTTTAGTTTTATGATTGTTTGTTGTTGTTTTTTGTTTTTTGTGGCGTTCTTTGGTGTTTGTTGGTTCGCGGTTTTCTTTAAGTTTGTGCACAGGCTTCCGAACTGTAGTGTCTGCGGCATGTGTTGCTGCTTTGTTTTTGTGATACTTATGTCCTTGCCAGGTATGGCGATACTGATTTCCACGGTACTGTCGACAATTTGCTTCCTCGTCCCCACCCCCCCTTCCGTCATAAAACAGTGGAGGTTGGTCAATACGGGGGTTACCATGCATGTGAACATGTGGTCTACATATCTACCTATATGTCTATGTATATGGGTAGTTCGCTAAATTGGGGTCCCTTCCTAGGTCCCCAATATAGTACGGCACCCTTATAAAAAGGACCCTAAAAGGTAGCCTAATTTAGAGAATTACCCATATGTACATGTATATGTACATGTATATGTAAATGCGTATGAAAGTTTGTGTGTGTCTCTCTCTATATATATATATATATGTATATGTATGTGTATGTATTTGTGCTTGTCTTAGTTAGGTAGATAGGTACGTACGTACGTACGTATGTATGTATGTGTGTATGTATGCATGTATGTATGTATGTATGTATGTATGTATGTATTTATGTATGTATGTAATGTATGTATGTATGTATGTATGTATGTATGTATGTATGTATGTATGTATGTATGTATGTATGTATATCTGCATGTAAGGTTTTGTAGAAGAATGTGTGTGTGTGTGTGTGCGTGTGCAGTTATATGAGTCCATGTCCAGCATGCGTATCCGCAAGATGCTTCGGTGCAAACAAGATCAACGCTGCTGTTCTGAAGTCCTGACCTCTTCCACAGCCTGCAGGCCCGCCTAAAACTTAGATGTGCAGATTCAACTTAGATCTGCAGATTCAAAGCACAGCTTCACTCCGTCTCTGAACCCGTTTCAACTGTTAAACCCTCGACCCCACACCCTAGCGTTAGGAAGCTAAAGGACCTAAACGAGCAACCCCAAATTGCCCAAAGGTCAGCAGTACCCACATAGCAGATAGTTTGGCCTTGCGCAAGTTTAAACCCTAAACCCTCAACCCTAAATTAAGGCAATATTCGGCTGACTATTATATTCTGCTGGTACTGAAACGGAAACCCCGTGAGTCCTAGACTGATGCGCTTCCCCAAACAGAGCCTTTCCAGGCTGCTGCTGAAGCTGCTGCTGTGAAGCGGCGGGAGGCTGGATCTTCAGCGTTTTGGTGACTGTGGCTTTGCCCAGGCCTTCGGAAACTCCTTATAAATTCAGGAGTATCATTGAAATCATATTCTAGGGCGCCTACTATAAGTTGAGGTATATTCCTAAAGCCCTAAACCCTAAACCTAAACCCTAAACCTAGTATAAGTTGAGGTATATTCCTAAAGTAAGGGATATCGGAAGGTTAAGGGAGCAGGGGGCCCGAGATTCCAGTTGTTCAATAATGGGTGCTCCAAACAGGCTATGGAAATATAGGGGCCTAAATAGGTACCTATACTACTTTGGGGGCTCCTTTTTCTGATTATAGTATAGTGGCTCCCAAAGCCCTATTCTAATCATTAAGGCCCATTATATATATATATATATAT